GACAGCCCCCCCCCCAGATCTCAACCAAGGTGGCTGGACAGGATAAGAATGAGGTCTGCCCCGAACTGCCAACACTCGAGGTGGGTCTCGAGTCTGTCAGCAATTTACTGTAAATAGAAAAAGCTGGAAATGCCAGTGGACTATGAGAAGCGAATAGGTTCAACTCAGCACATTTTTATGTATATGCATGTGCAGATTTAGTAACTCCAAATCCACATCCTTTTAAAAAAACAAGTATTTACAGCAATGGAAAACCCGTCAGCTTGAAGTCAAGATTACTGATAAAATATTAATTAAAAATAATGAAATGCCAATAAAATATAATAATATATCTGTTTTTTATAATCATAAAGAAAGAAAAAACCTGGTGAAAGCAGAACAAGATAAATTTATGTACAATTAATTAAGTACTAATTTATTTTAATAAATCAAAAATTAAACTCTTCTACTGGTTCCCAATGGTAAAATCAGGCATGACAAACAGAATAGAGATTTTGGTCTATCTAAAACAACAGAATAATTGCAAGCCAATGAAAACTATCTCAACATTGCCTACCGATAGCTTATATTTATCTTATATTATCTGGTCCATATATTTATCTCAATCTTGTTGAATTTTTAGACTAATTTAAGATTTAAAATACATTTCTGCAATATTGAGATAATTGTTGACTATTATCACAGATGGAGAAATGGGTTGACCGGGTTGCACTAGTGACTGGAGGGAATTCAGGCATCGGTTTCGCCATAACAGAATCTCTCCTCGATTGGGGTCTAATTGTGATTTCGATTGATAAAGACATAACAAACCTTCAGGTATTCTAATTTATGGTAAACTTTACAAAAAAGTATAATAATTTCATGTTTTATTTCAGAAATTGAATGAAACCGGCAAATGGATCTCAGCGAAAGGGCAAAGGCTTCATCCTCTGATGGTTGACTTGTGCGATGAGGATCAGGTCATCCGAGCATTTCAGTGGGCTGAGAATAACCTAAACACAATTGATCTACTGGTCAACAATGCTGGAGTCGGTGGAACTTTAAGCCTTTTGAGTATGTCTGCTGTAAAAACTGGCAAAGTTTTTTAAAAATTTCACATTGGGCTATTTGTTTTCTTGTTAGGTGGAAATACAAGCGAATGGAAACGACTTTTGGACGTAAATGTCATCGCGTTTAGTTTGTGTGCAGTCCAAGCAGTAGCATTAATGCGAAAGACCAAAAACCAGCAAGGGCAAATAATTAACATTACAAGGTAGAAAAATGTTCATTTGAAAAAAAATTAGGGCCATTTTAATTTTTTTTCTTTTTGTAGTAATTTAGCAAATTTTGTTCCTACTTATGCCCCGTTTCATTTCTACGCAGCTACAAAACATGCGGCAAAAGCATTTACAGAAGGTCTGAGACAAGAATTAATTGACATTGAAATCCCAATCAGAATCACAGTGAGTAATAAAATATAAATTAAAAAAAAACAATTCTATCATTTCTTATTCAAATAGTTTTTAGTCAATTGTATGATACATAAATTATGCTTTATACATACAAAATTACAATACTATTAATTAATCATTTTACTTTTGTTCATTACAGAGTATTAGTCCAGGTCTTGTGAAAACAGGAATACTCAAATCATCTCTAGGCATAGATATGGACAAACTTGTTTTTGACAAGCATCCGAGTATAACGCCACATGACGTAGCTGCATCTCTCGAGTACATATTGAGCACACCAATACACGTTACCGTAATAATTTCTATAATTATTGGTATTTTTAATTAATACGTATTATAAATTGGATGATATTTTACAGATAAACGAAGTGGCGATTAGACCAACAAGAGCTTTAAACTAAAGTAAAAAGTGCGTGAGAACATATATATCAGATATTACCAATTATACTTTGAAGTACCTGCAATATGAAAAATACAAACACAAGGGACTAAAGCATATCCCGGTTTAATAATAAATAATTACATCCTCTAGTTAAGGTTTTTCTTTCTTTTTTTCTCCATAAGTTTAAAATTTACAACTTTTCATAACTTACTGTAAATCTTATGGCAAGAAGTAAATACTTAAACCTAATGTGTATTTTTTTATTTTTATATATATATTTTTTATTATGATAATGCATTTTAGCAATTTGCCATCTTCAGTTTATCACTTGGCCACTAAAAATACATTGGAAAATCATACTGTCTCAGATAAAGATCCTCAGCTTACCAATATTTTTTAAATCTATCTCTCCCCCCCCCCATTTTGAGTTTTTTTTTTTCTTCAAATAACAACAATTTGTCAACTTATTTTTAAAGTAATCTCAATCATATGTTATTATGAGTGTCATCCCTACCAAAATGTCAAAAATTGCACGGAATTCTTTTAATTATCTACCATAGTAGGGTCAACTCATGTCTGGTCATCAGGATCATATTGATGATGAGACTACCCCCTCCCCCTTGAGTGGCACTAATTTTGAGAAAATTGCGATTTTCAGATTCTTACCTTTACTTATTATAATAGAACTAAATATCCCATTTCTACTTAAATGGAAAGTGCTTCATCGTTTTATTTATTTATTTTTTGGTTTCCCAATTACAAATGTATATAATAAAAGTATAAAGGTTATAACGGTATATACATTTAACAATGTAAAATAAAAAACTTTTTTTTTATTTAAAATTAATTGAAACAATTGTATTAAAACTATGTAATTTTAAATTAAAATTATAATCAAAATCAATATTAATTAAATATATTAATGGTACAATATTTAATTTTGTAAAATAAAATTTGCCTAAATGTACTTAAACTGACATTAAATTTATCAAAGTATGGTCTTGAAGAAAAAGAAAACAAATTTAGTTTATCTATTTTAAGGTCATCATCATCAGGGCCAAACAACCTTAAATATGTCAACAGATTGACATATTTTTTTTTTTTATAAAATAAAATAATTATAAATAATACCTTAAAACAGGTTGAAAGCTTGGCATTAGCAACTAAATCTGCTTTCTTCTTCTTCAAGACCAGAGTGTTCGTAAGTGAAAAAGCAGTCGATACTTCTAATACTGAAAACATTAAATGTATCTAGATTTTTGAATGAGTTTAACTTTGTATAAAAGTTTTTGGTATAAAACTGAATTTGGCATAATTAGTTCTATAGCAATCAATGGAGAATGTTATACAACCTGAGCATGAAAGTTAATTCAGTTAATTGGCGATCAGTTAAGGAATGTAATAATTTATATAATAATGTGCAATCAAAAAAATCTCCTTCTGTACAGAACATCACAGATCCGACATTAGCTGTAAGTATGTTTTTATCTCTTACTCCAGTTGTTCTGTAATGTAAAAGGCGTAAAAAAGGTAAGTATCGTTTTATTTTTTAACCGCTGCTATGCGATTGATATGGAATTTTATGATAAGGTTACACCCCCCTTACAGAGGCACTAATTTTTGCAAAAATTGCAATTTTCAGATTTGTACCTTTTTTGCTATATAAGACCTACATTTGTACCAAATTTCACATTTCTACTTGCCTTTCTAAGTGCCTTATAATTTTTATGGTGGGTCTACTAGAAAAAGTGCAAAAGAAGTGTATGGTGCTAGTGAGAGGGGCTTTCCCACAAGAACCTAATTACTAAACTGTTCGTTTTCCCAAAAGATTTCCACAATTACTTGAGACCGAACCTAATTATTTTTTGTTACAAGATTTTTATGTAACTAATACAATAAATAGTACTTACATCTGTCTCAGAAGTATTTTCTTCATCTATGCCATCATCATCAGTGTCCACGTTTGATTGAGAAGTTCGGTTAATGTCTTGATCACACAGAAAACTAAAAAGAAATAGACATTTAAATATTAATAAATAATAATAAATCTTTATATACTAATAATATTAGGACTTCATGAATTAATGTTTTTAAATCAACAAGCCCTTACCCCAACAGTGAGAAGTACCACAACTTAGGCTTGTACACAGTGTCAGCAGATGCTCCTGACTTCAGTGATTCCTTAATTTTTTTCTTTTCTTTTCGGAGAGCGCTTCTCATATTGTTTATTTTTTTAATGACATCATCTTTTGTTGCCTTTGCGTTCACTTCTTTCAATTTTGTTAATAGTTTCGCGTACGAGACCTCCTTTTTATTTCTATCGTGGTAATGTTTTGAACTCACTTGCCACAAGCAAGGTTCGTTCTCGTACATTTGTATAAATTCTGTTAAAAATTCTCGAGACATGAAGAAATAGGCACTTCACAAATCCTCAAGGCCGTCTGTCATCAAGAGACCTGTATAAACTGGCCTCAAGGAGGAAAAAGAATTGATTTTTGTCCGGGATTTTGGGTCTCTCCCTCCCATCGCGGCCTGAAGGACGCCGCCACACACGTTGAGAAATTCCTCAAGGTCTTGCACCGTTCAGGCCGAACCTCGAGGAAATCCCGCTCGTGTAGACTACGCTTTTCGTGAGTGAAGGGCGATCAGGAATGACGTATTTTAGATAAACAACTTTTTCATCTTTTTTTTACCGATATTCCGACCTTTGTTCGGGTCATCTTCAGGACATAAAGTGTCGTGGTATTCTTGTTGTGCTTGTTTCGAGTGAAATTGTTGTGATCACAAGAATAGCACCACACTTTATGACCTGCAGATGACCGGAATAAAGATCGAAACGTCTGCAAAAAAAATGAAAAAGTGCTTGTTTAAAATACTTCATTTCTGACTGCTCCTTACTACTTCGACAAACAAAAAAGTATATTGCATAAAAAATTTAAAAATATGAAGTACTGTGTGGTGATTAGTGCCCGTTAGTCGATGATTATTCAGAAATCGTGAGATGCGGTCTGGTGTAATGTAGGTTTCAGAAAAACATTTTCTTTATCGTGCCAACGTTTTGATCTTTATAGAGACCTGAAGATGATCTCAATAAAGATCGAAACGTTGGCACGATAAAGAAAATGTTTTTCTGAAACTTACATCACACCAGCCCGCATCTCACAATTTCTGAATAATAAATATGAAGTACGGTACACTTAAAAATAATAATACTCATAAAGACAAAAAAAAAACTCCAATTAAATTTTACCCACTAAGTGTGAGTAGGAACTATCTTTTTACAAAGATTGAACAACACGCTCACTCCACTTTTTCTTTCTTTTATGCGAGAAACATCAACGGTTATCATCGCCTTTGTATTACTAGCGGTTTATTGGAAATTATGGTCATTTATATAAGTTTATAGAGATTTCTCATTTTTAGACTTTCGAAGACTTGATAATTTTTTTTCTGTTCCTTCTCTAACATTTCTTTTATAGTCTAGAGGATGATACATGTACATGTAGGATGTGAAAAAATGAATTTGTACAATGATTGAAAAGTATTTGTGAAAGTGTTTGATGATTTGAGGACTTGGATTGTCTAAAATTTCTATCATTGTACAAATTCATTTTTTCACATCCTGCATGTATTTGTTTAAATTAAACGATGTTTATAAATCCCAGGCCTTGAAGATGATCTCAATGAAGATCGAAACGTTGGCACGATAAAGAAAATGTTTTTCTAAACCTACGTCACACCAGACCATCTCACGATCTCCAAATAAGCAATAAAAATTAAAAAACTCCGATTGCTGGCTGTTAAAAAATTGTATAAGTAAATACAAAAGAAGAAGTTTACATGTTTTTCTTAAATAAGGGATTTTGAGTAATAATTTCTCATTTGTAAATAAGTGGGAAAAAAATTGGCCGATTGACATAGGTACACATGTGAAGCCGGTTGCTGTACCGATGGGTGGAGGGCGTTGGTAACATTTTGGATTGTTTTCGTATATTAGTGTTTTCCAAATTTCCACAGTTTTTCTTCTTTGTTCAGATTTTTTATTAAAGGCGTGAAGGTCTTGTTTAAAAAAAATACGCCTCGAATATGAGCGTGAGATTGTATTATTGAGCATTGTTTTGTTCTGCGAAATCATGTAAGCATTGGTTTAATTTAAATGCGCGCGGCAGTGTCCTCATACTTCGATTCAAACCATACAAATTGTCGGCTAAACTGATTCTCGAAAAAAGGCCCCGATACGTTTAGGAATTGTGAAAATTGCGGAAAATTCCATTTCAACCGACTCCCAGAAAGCTCAAAAGCGAAAATTTCGACAACGGACATTTGAACGAGGCGGCGGGATGGCGGTCGAACTGCCTCGTTGATAAACCGGAGAAGGCCAGTGGCGAACCAAGAGAAGCAAGGAAAGTAAAAGATGTTGGAGGGATGAACGTGACCAGCCTCTCTTGCGTCTACAGCTTCTCCCCTTCTCATTCTCGACTCGAAACGACCGACAAAATGGAACCGAGCCTCTCCAACGACAAACCGCCGACTGTGTAGCGTCCAGCCTTATTATTATTAAAACTTCCCTTTTTTCAACTACAATCTACGCCTGAAAACTTTTCAAGGCTAAGGTAATACATTTTCATTAATTTTTTTCCCCACTTTTAGGTTTTATAGCCTCTAAACGAAACATTAGCCGGCCAAAGCCTTTCAAGCGTTTTTTCATCGTTTTTGTTCTGTTTTTAAAACCAGTTTTTTATTTTTTTTAAACAGAAATTGTTTCAGCAGTTATTCACTTGTTTTCATGTCATTTTCAAATATTTCCCTATCATGTGGTCGGACATGGCGAACCTCTTACTTAGATTTATTTTTTTTGACAATCATTCCCCTTTTATTTATTTATTTATTTTAATAGCGCCTTATCATTTTAATCCGATTGTTTCTCCTTGTAAACAAACTTTGGTTTCCGTTGTATTTTATCGACTGAACAAACTATCCGCCGGGCGGACAATGGACCACATGGTGTGCCAACTTTTTATTTATCAATTTTTCGTTATTTTTAATTATGATAATTTTTAAATTGTTAACGTACGAGTTATTAATTCGAAATTCAATGTTTTCTTCTCTACGCCTGTTCTGGAAATAATGCGTAATTTGGCTTAGTCACGGTTGCGAATCATTGCCGTAAATGGCCGTGTCCTTTGGCGTTTTCGTTTTATTTCGAAATCCGGTCGGAATTTACGACACTAAAAATCCTATTGCACAAATAAAAAAATGAATTATTAAAATAAAGCGGTTGGATACTGTAATATTACACTTAAGAATAACTATTAAACTGTTTTGGTTTGTAGATACTCTTTATTTGTGTATGTCGGAAACATTTTGGCTTTTTGCAATGTTAGAAGGTGTTGTTGTTCGGGGGGGCGTCGGTGGCTGCAATGGTTTAGGCGTTGACACAGCGCTTAACACTCATCATCCAGCGGTACTGCATTCGTTGTCTAAACGTCTAAACCGTTGCGACCACCGGTGTTTTGTTGTATGTGAGCATTGGCTATCCGTAATTTAAGTTAGTTTGTTCCAACGATAATGGTCGTTAGTGAATAGCTTGTAAGGATATTCATTTCTTTGTGATAGTAACATACATGCCTAACAAACAAGTATAAATATCCAGTACGAAAAACATATTTGTTAATTGATTTAGCAATTGTTTTTCATAATGTGAAATTACTACAGGCCCTGATCATTTAAATTGGTTGAAAGCTTGGCAGTAACAACTGAATTTTTTTTCGTCAAGACATTGATCCAGAGTGTTCATGAGTGAAAAACTGGTTGATACTTCTAATATTGAAAACTAAAATAATTCTAAAATTAGCACTACTTTGCTCTTACAATGAAGATAAAAACGCAGTATAAGAACTACGAATGCTGTTAGATTCAGTTAAGGACACACAATTTTATTTTTTCTCATAAAATATAATTGTGGTATTTACAATGTTGGTATTTACAATGTTACAATACAATATTGGTGTTGTGACAATTCAGTATTTACAATAGTTATTCAGATATCGTGAGATGCGGTCAGTTGTGATGTAGGTTTCAGAAAAACTTTTTCTTTATCATGCCAACGTTTCGATCTTTTATTGAGATCATCTTCAGGGCCTGGGATTTACAAACAATGTTTACATTTAACAATTACATTTAGGATGTGGACAACACGATACACAAGGATGGCACAATTACACAGAAGACAAACACTTTGAGTGAGTAGAAGTACTTTGTTTGAATATAAAATATATTTTGCATTGTATAAATTCACTTTTCCACATCGTAAATGTAATTGTTAAATGTAAACATTGTTTGTAAATCCCAGGCCCTGAAGATGATCTCAATAAAAGATAGAAACGTTGGCACGATAAAGAAAATGTTTTTCTGAAACCTACATCACACCCGACCGCATCTCACGATATCTGAATAACTATCGATTAACGGTCACTAATCTCTACACAGTATTTACAATGTTCAGATTTGGTGATGTTTTGATAGTTTTTGTCCCTTGATCGTATCTGATCATCATTCTTGTGTTTTGTAAGTGTATTTGACTGTGAAAATAACTCAGACCTTAATGTGGCTAAAAGCAGGGAGTCTAAGCAGGCCAAAATGAGAGGAAATTATGAAACTGCTTGGTCATCATCCCACAGACCACAAGAAGACATTTCGTAATTTAAATCTTAATTGAAAGGATACTTTTTTATATGGTGTGAAATTGGAACTCATTTGTAGCTACTTGGCTATCTTTATCAAGGTCATTTTAAGTCACAGTGGCCTTATCACTTCACACACAATTAGCACACAGACTATTTTTTACAATTATTATTATCACCTTCTAGGCAGCAACTGAATACATAAACTTTAACTATTACAAAAACTCAAGTTTGGCAAATACAGAAAGCCAATGGCAATAGATATATTGTCAGAGCTGACACAAACCACTCACTCAGACAAACGTGCCGAGCTCAATTACATGAATGGACAGATTCACTACATAATATATTAATTAATAATAAATTAAACAAATATATTAAATAAATTAATATATTATATGTAAGTATGTTATATTATTATATTAATAATCATTATAGTAATTATTACAATATTACTATATAAATATGTTATAGAATGTTATATTATTTTACAATGACAATTTAAAAATTTAGAATCACAGCAATAAATGTAATCGTTTAGGTTTTTTAGGTATATGTTATGAAACATTCTTTTAATCTATTTTATGACTTACATATTGTTTAATTTTTAAATTATTTTTCCGTTTTTTTATTTTTTTAATTTTTGCTTTTATTTAGTTATTTTTTTTATATTGTATATTTCTATATTTAAACATTTTTTGTCAATTTGATTAATTCCATAAAATATATATATCAATTTCTAACTTAAATTGTATAGTTTAGTCTTTTTTGATTATTTTGGTCAGATTAACTTTCGCTGTTTTTGTGTGACAGAAACATTTTGGTGCAATGATGTGAGAAGAAAGTGGATGTTGGACTGAGGGTCGGTGAACACATGTTGAACTGTCAGTTGGTTGTCTGAATGTGCAGGTTTTGATTTAACTCAAATGCATTTCAGCTTTGTGTTGTCTTTGGTGATAAACTGGGTGAAGGATGAAAGAATCAAGAAAATAACACAAAGATCACTGTCTCAATCTGCACTATTCAAGAAAATTATAATTTGTCTTTGGCTGAATCCATCATCCAGTTTATTCTAGTTGGTTTTCTATGTGTATAAAAAGGAACACAACTCCCCCCCCCTGACAACTTAGACCCAGCAGTGGCGAAAAGCTGATATGGGAAGATAGACAGTTCAAAATTATACTACCAAAACTACATGATTATCCCACAGAATTCGAGATTAAATCTCATAATTTATATCTTAACTAAAACTTGCTTTTTCTCGTGTGAAATTAGCATTTATTTGGACCACAATCTTTATTAGTCACTCTAGCAAATTACACAACGGGCTTATCAATTGCACACATTTATCATTATAGACTATTTTTTACTGTTGTTTTTAGCCCATTAGCCTCACATAATTTAAATTTGATACGTTATACAGTGGTATTCACGATCGTCAAGGGACCTAAGGAATAGATCGTTATAACCAAACTTTGTTGTATCTAAATTTATAATTTTAAAAAGAATGTACATATTTGAGAAAAATAGGTAGGATAAAAGAAAAAGGCAAGGTATTATGTGTATAAAGATAACATACAGAAATATTAACCTAATTATCATTAATTCATTGATTTTCCATAAAATGATCAGTCACAGTGATTTTTATGCAATGGTTACTTGTTTATGCATTTAGAAAATTAGCTGAAAGTTGGTAGTGGACACAATAAGCGAACTCAAACAACCCACACAGACACAAAAGTCGAGTGCATGTCAGACAAATAATTGGGTTGTCTGGAAAATAATACAAGTTTACGCTTATAAAATAAAAACGATTAAATGATATTGAAGATTTTTTGTTAATTATAATTCCTTCCATCACTCTCAATACACTTCTCCCAATGTGATGCAACTTCTCTATACTCTCTGGTTAGAATGTTGAATCTTTATTATTAACAAATTACGTAAATGCATTTTTTAACGATTTGATAAATAAATTTTTTATGTCGTAAAACATCAAGGTGTTTGAAAAATTGTATTTGGTAGGCGCGAGAGGTCTGGGGAATAGTGAAGGAGACTGAGGCAGAACCTCATAACCAAGATAGAAAAGTTTGCATGTTGTCATATGCTGAGCATTGTCGTGTAACAGAATCAGCCTTTTGCAACTGACCAAAGATAAGTCGTGTAAATAAAATCAATTTCTGGTGCATAGCTTCACCCCTTCAGCCCTAGTTTGAGAGCAATAGGTTTCAACATTGAATGTTTCACCAGGATTCAAGAAGCCAATCAGCTCAAAAGCTATCACCTTTTTTGATGAGTTTGGGGCTTTAGTAAATGAGGTGCTTCTCCTTTGTTAGCCTCTGTCCAGAATGCCTGCTGTTATAGTAGAGACTTTTCATCACAAGTAGCAATTCTATCAAGAAAAGGTTCTGTTTCTGTTTCGGTAACAAAGAGTTGCACAAACTTAATGATGATTTTTTTTGGTGGTCGTTTAATGCATTTGGAACCCAACTTTTGAGCTTTTTCATTTTTCCAATTGTCTTAAGGTGGTCAGCGACGGTCGATTTGCTAATGTACAGATTCTCTGCTAGTTCTTGAACGGTTGTTCTGGGATTTTCTTCAACAAAAGCTCGTAGTGAACACAATAAAATCACTACCACTGACCAATGATAAGTACAAAAATGAACAAAATGAGAATACAATTACTTATTTATTGCCTACCATTTCTATAAATAAAACTTGTTACCTAGTACGCAAATAAAATGCTTCGGAAGATGAAATGGATTTATTAAACTTAAACTGTAATATTATATAACAATATAATTTCAAATTAGTACTTAAATCCTTATCAAAACCTGCTTTTAAAAACATGTGACATATGAACTTGAACTACTTCGTTACTAGTTGATAATTGTCAAGGTCTCATACAAAATGAATGCAGTTTTATCAATTGCCCACAAATTTACCAAGAACAATTTCTTTTTAACAAATACAATACTTTTTTTTAACTTGTAAGCCTCAAAATCAAATTATTATTGATGAAGATTTGAAGTAAAAAATATTTTACAAAATTTGCTGAATCATCGTGGGTTTGATTGGTGACTACAAATTGATTAGATTAAACTTAATATTTAACTCTGAAATAATAATAATGTGGGAAATTCAGGAGTCAACAAACAGCTAGTGATTGCTGGCCCTATACAGGTTTTACTTCTTTTTCTGGTCTTTAACACTGTTTGATAAATTTCTGATTGTAAAACTATTTTGTTAACTCATTAACCTTTATTATAAATCTGCTGCTGTAACGTTTAATGTCATTATGATAACCGTTTTTCTTTTTCCTTTGTTTCAGCTAAACAAAATGTCTACAACACAGTATGGAATTCGTGTTACAAACAACCGATTTGAGCTATCGGATCTTGATGATGAGGATCCTTTGGAGATTCTGAAAATGCGAGAAAAAGAGCTTGAGGCCAGAAAAAAGACTAAATTGGCCGAAAAAGAAAACAAAAGTAAAGAGGCCACTCATGTCAAACCAAACAAACCGGTGAATAAGAATGTAAAACAGAACCACAGTAATGCTGATAACCACAAAGGGAAGGAAGATGCCTTCACCAAGCCTCAAGGTGAAAGGTCGGAACGCAAATTTACAGGTGAAAATCGCAGCGATGAGAGGGCTAATACGGGTCGTAACAACTACGAGGAACGCCAGACAGACCTCAACAACAAAGATGAAAAGAACGATCGATTTGAAAAGAAGGATAATCGTTCAGATTGGACCAACTCTGGTGGAGACGGCGGCTTTGAAACTAAGCAGCGCTCGGGTAGAGGTGGTCGTGGTGGTGGAAGCACTTTCGTCCGTGGAGGCAGGGGTCGCCCAGGCCCCCGCCAAAATTTTGATCCTTCAAAAGGCAAAAGAGATTTTGACAGACAATCCGGATCAGAAAAGACTGGAATCAAATCCACGGACAAAAAGGACGGTGGTGGTTCACGCAACTGGGGCAACCCAAAAGAGGATTTGGAAGAATCGACCAACCCAACAACGACGGGCGCCGAAGATGATGAGTGGAATCCTTTGGGTTGGGAGAAACAGGTTGAAGAGACCAATACCAAAAATACTGCAGAGACCGCTGAAGAAGTCACCACCACTCCTGTTATCGAAGAGCAACCGGAAACACGTGAACTCACCCTAGATGAATGGAAAGCATTGAAAGGACCTAGGCAAACCCCAAGCTTCAACATTCGCAAAGCCGGTGAAGGAGAGGATCTGTCACAATGGAAGAAAATGTATGCGCTCCGAAAAAAGAAAGAAGGCGAAGAAGAGGAAGATGATGATGAATACGAGTTCGATAGTAGCGAATACCCACAGAGAGTAGGCCGTCAGAAACACGTATTGGACATTGACATACATTTTAAGGACATGCGAGGACCTATTCGTGGTCGAGGTGGTCGCAGCACTCGTGGAAGTAACAGGCAGTATCAAGGCAATTCTCTTCACAATGCTAGTCATGATTTGGTTCCTAAAATAGCTCCAAAAGTCGATGATGAACATGATTTCCCGTCTCTACGTTGAATTCTGCTAGTCCGATGTAACTACTTGATTCTTTTTTGTTGTTGTTGTGCAATAATAAAAGGAAAATGAGCATTTTCAAAACAACTCTTAACTAATTGAAAGTTTCACAGTTTTCATTGTTTTTAATATTCTCAATTTTTTTAAAACTTGATTCTTTTTAGTAGAGATTCCTGGGGTGTGTCCACTTTCTAATTTTCTGTTTATATTTAAGTTTATATTACGGACATTAACCTTTGTTTGTACTTAGTATTATTGATGCAGAATTGCTCTTATTAAGCTTTAAGGTCTGAACTGATAATCTTATGATATTAAAAAATTTGTTTTTCTAAGATGTTTTCACTTTTATTTGTGCAGTCTGTATAGCATTTAACAATGCTTTATAATATTTTATTAGCCAGCATACCCGTGTTTGTCTCTTGCGTCTTTTCAGATTCAGTTTGTTTTATTAAACGCTAAAATAAAAAACACATCTTTTGCTAACTTCTTTTTTATTTCGATCCACTCCAATTGTCAATGAAATTGAAAACAAAGGAAAACAGCCAGTCTGGTAGAACATGAAGAAATTGTAATATGCCCAGTGTTATAATTCAAATAATACATTGGGGGTTAACTTTTGTTATTTTTGTTAAATATAGGATCATTATTAGAAGAATTTGCTGTTCTTACTGCTAGAACTTGGTATTAAATTTACAAACACCAATCAATTGCTTGCACTATAATACTAAGTTGTCAAAAGATTTTTAATGTTTTTCTATATGTGGTTTAAGAATAACTTTTCAATGGTTGTGGTACTTGTACTCATGTTTCCATGTATCTTTGTATGAAGGTAAAAGTTTGGATTAATCGTAAACAAACTTTTTGATGCAAAATCTTCTTGTAAACTGCAAATATTAAGTGGTTGAAACAACAGAAAATTACTAAGCTCACTTATAAGAATCTTTTTTTGAAGATAACTTTCAAATAGGTAATTTTCAAAAAATATATTTATTGGGAGTTCGTGAGTTGGTGAACTTCTTGATTGATTTGTGTATTGATGTGAAGATTGTTTAGTGATTTACTATTAACCCTTTTTGCTTCCTTCTGTGCCTTTGTCCAACTAACTTATTCAATTTCAGTATCACAGTTCTTCGTAATCAACTCGCAATAACGTTAATCAAGAACGTCTTTTATATTCTGTGAGCTAAGAACATGACAATAAAATGCTCAGTTTTGTAGTAAAAAAAAAAAAAAAAGTTTCTATTTTTCAAACAACAAACCAAGCTGTGCATCTATGTGTAGAAACCATTTAATATTAGTAGAAGAGTACATTTATTATCTTTTGGTCGTTCATCTACCCTAAGTGTATCTTCTATTAAATGCTTTGACAGGAATGTATACTTACCTTTCTATGTTGTGTGAAGGTATGGTGTACTGCTTAATTATTACCGTTTATTTTTCTGAATTTCCACCAGCTTTTAATTCTCAATATATAATCTCCCACATGAAAGGAGTCTGAGATGTCTGATGGGCAGAAATAAAATGTGGTGGAACAATTCAGAGAAATACAGGAATAATTACTTTCCAATTTAGAAACACACTTGAACTGCTTTCATTTCTGGCAGTATTTGCCCTCTTGTCATTTTCTGCATGCCACTTTAAACCATCGTGGATTCTTCACTGAACTAGCCCATGTATATTGTACAAGTAATTACATTATGCCACTTGGTACTTTTGAAAAATGGTCTCATAATCAGTTTATTGAGATATTTCTTCTTGAGGTCTGCACGGTGATGAATCGTAGATCACCCTGTGGTCTGGGCTTTCTTACCCATCTTGGTTTTTAATTTTTTTTTCAGTTTTGTGATTATTTTACTTGTGTGCATAAGTACTAAGCAAAATAATACATCTCTTCATGGTGTTAGGATTTGGATGCATATAGGCTCAAATTTGCACATGTTTGTACATACAAATACTGCACACAGATGGAGAGTTTGGCCTATCATTTTCCGTAGTCAAGCAATTCCAGCTTTTGTAGTTCATAATAAATTGCTGGCAGGCCTTGAGAATCGCCTACCTTGGGTGTTTGCAGTCCAGGGGCAGACGTCAATCTTATCTGTACAGCCACCGAGGTTGGGGTTCGAGTACTGACAGATGGGTGAATTCATCACCCAATGCTTGCAGTTTCTCAATCCAAATCAATTCACTCTCACTCATTCTTAAACACTCCTCTTTATGTACATTCACTCAAATAGGGTGGTGGAGCATTTGATATTTATCCATCGTCCTCTACACATATAACTACCGTCTCAATGGATGAACTTCATGGAGTAATGTTGGATGGACACCTTGCAGTAATGAAAATGATTGGAGGTGGGTTGAAAAAGTCCATGGTGTAATATTGGATGGAATACATGGATTATTGCAGGATGCACTCCTTGGTATAATGTTGGATGGTCTCCGAAGACTATTGTTGGATGGACTTCATTGAGTAATACAAATGGTTTGAGATGGAATGAGTAGAACTGACTTTTCCACAAATCCATGGAGTAACGTTGGATGGGCTTCTTGGATAATGCTGAATGGACTCCGAAGGTTATTGTTGGATGGACTTCATGGAGTAATACAAATGGTTGGAGGTGGAATGTGTAGAACTACCTTTTCGAAAAAATCCATGGAGTAATGTGGAATGGACTGGACTCAATGGAGAATTGCTGAATGGCTTCCCTGGAGTATTGCTGGGTTGGCTTCATGGTGTAAAATGTGTAGACTGAACGAACTACATAATGTTTGATGAACAATATGGAGTAATGCTGAATGTACTCCATAGAGTAATGCTCCATGCACTTCGATGAACTATGTGGAGTAATGTTGGGTGGACTCAACGGAGTAATATAAGATGGAATATGAAAAAACACCGGCACCACGGGGTTCATACAACCTCGTAGTTGATATCAACAGCTTTTTTCGATTTGAATGGCAACAATCACCAGAATACCTATGAGAAATACCAGTAGCAATTTGGATTAAAACAGCTTATCTAAAATCAATTATTTCACAAGATTATTTACATGACTGGAGATCGCGTTGATTAGATTGATTTAAACAAAAACGTAAAATGGGCATGTTTCATAAAGCGCACGGGTTTAAACACGGCATATGTACTTATAGGTGAAGTTATATTTTGGAGTAGTGACATCGATAGTATGGCATCTGCCTGTATCTCCTTCAGTTCCCGTTTTTCGTTGGCATGGCCTCTCCTTACAGATGATTGTCCATTTATGACCCTGTGCTTTTTGGATTAGAATATGGAAGGTCAACTCCTCCGAGGCCGCAGTTGGCGTTGTAGTCAGTAACAGTGACACCGCGGCAAGCTTGGCTTTGAGGCTACTTCATACTGATCGCTTTAGCCTGCAAAGCCTTGGTCCTTCACACCACCGAACCATATGTCAACATTAGTCTTATGACACATGCTGTGTTGGAGCCGTAGTTTCATTTTGAGATTTAATCACCAGCTTTTAGCACATCGGTGGACCCGTGTTCACCCGTTTGTTAGTCTTAGTTTTTTGGGTTTTTTTCTCCCCTATAAGAATAAACCGACTAGGCTGTCAGGTGGATTATAGCATGCCGTCCATGGAGACTTCAAGTCAAAATTGAAAAATAAATATTTTGATGAAATTTCAGTTGTTCAAATTTTTTTTAAACTTGATCAGATCCAACATAATGATTCGTATAGCTTGGATGTTTTGACCGCTCACCTTCAGTGGTTGGTCTACGTGAAAATTTCCCAGACATGACCTGTACCTACGTTTATGGAATAGAACGTAACTTCGGCTTATAAACTAATAAAGCTTTGAACAAGTTCTCAGCAGTTAAATTTTTTATGAATATATGTGCGATAAAAGTCCACTGATGATGTCTTAGTATTTTTTGTTCCTTAATTCATCCATTCCTTGCTAGCTTCGTAGACATATAAAAAGGACACGAAAATAACAGATCAACCACCGAAGATGACAAATTGCAAGAATGATTTGAAACGACAAAAATTTATGTTTATCAACTCTCAGGCCATGGCAAAAATCTTACATTTTATGTCGTGTAATCAGGATCATTGGAAAGAACCAAACTAAGGCATAAACCAAATCTCCCAGTGTCCATTTGGGCTTTGCGAATGAACTTTATCGAAAGCAGTGGCAAAAAGTTTCCTATTGTGTCAATTCAACAAACATTTTTGTTGTGAAAAAATTAATAATAGAAGATATGCATTCATGGAATGGTGCATTTTCTCTTGAGCTTTGTCCCCGTCCGGACAAACGACAAGAGTGACAAGGCGAAATATTATACATAATATGGAAAACGGAAAATTGTGTTTCACTTTTCATGCAGACTGGCAGACTCCATGTAAAATATGAAATCACGTCTTTTCTGCGGGGAAAACGGCCTTCTCCTTTTCCCTCGGGCGATTCACACCGGCCCATTTTGGGAAAACAACCATGATTTTTAAACTGAAATAAACTTCAGAATACATTTTTTTCTTTTTCATAGAACATTCTTAGATTTGCTAAAGTATCTTAGATTGCTTTCTCGATGTCCATTTATTCTATCCTTTTAGACTGGTGGCTCGACCTCTTCCACTTTCTTTGGGCTAACGTTGCGATTATCTTCCAGAACCCAGTCCGCTTCCTTAACCACACGTTTGTTTTTTTCCGTTGGTTATGCTTAGTGTATGCCGCGCTCCATGCTCCTAACCGTAACCTGCGATTTTTGTATTATTTTGCTGACCGTAGTCCATGCCTCCAACCATTGATTAGTACACGCAATACCACAGAGACCCACAGTCTTGTCTTCATCAGAACAACTTCAGGTCTAAAGAAGTGTTTATTACTCAAAAATTTTTTCCACGTTAAAGTGTAGTACTGTAATGTTCCGGAATTCTGTTTGCATCAGACCAGCGGGAGGTTCTCTCATCAAGTCTTCAACCATTCCAATTATAATTTTTGACACTAAAACTTAACTGCCGGAGCATTTTTGGTGGTGTCCATCTTTTATTACATTTTATTACCTATTATTACCTTTATTAGTTTACTTTATTGATCATCTGGTATAATTAATGTGAATATCTAGGCAATACTGACATCGTCTTGGTGTTCACCTCATGACCTTCCTTGTATATTTCTTCCTTAATCTTGATTATTCAACGTTTTTAATGTCATCCGATTTTTATCGATATTTTATGTATATTATATGTTCTGTTCGTGTTTATTACTCAACAAGTTCTTCTAGGTTAAAAAAAAAAAGTGTACCACAGTTCCGGAAGTCAGTTGGCAGAAGACTAGCTGGATGTTCTCTTATCAAATCTTCAACGATTCCAATTATAATTTTTGACAATAAAACAACTGTCGGAGATTTTTGGTGGTTTAGCCACACTCCATCCATTTAATTACTTTTTTTGTCTACTTTATTGATCATCATGTAACATTAATGTGAATATCTTGGCAATACTG